TTGTCTATCTGCACTGACACCTACTGTTTTAGCTTTTCTGGAGGGAAACTTCTTCAATCTTCTAGCAAGTGGTGCTGGGACAGTTGGAAATGGGGAAGTAAGAACCTGCTTTCTACACAGAATTAAAACCATTGATAGCCTCTATTCAGGAGGAATATGATACATTCAATTCCGAGCATTTGGGGAGTTTGACTTAAAACTGGTCTTAGATTTCTAGAATGTACTAAATCAGGTACATGTATCCATCTGCATCCAACTTCTGAAATTTTATTCCCATTTTCTTTATAGCAGTGATTTTTCATGTTTTAAACCCATCATTACTATTAGGCAGCATAAGAGGAAGCAGAGAGCAATTCAAATGTTCGATCTATTGTCTCCAGCTACAAGCAAAGTGTAAGTGACAGCAGGAGGGTATTCAGAACAGAGAAGGTCAAGATGCTATCAGCTGCAGCAATCAGACTGTATCTCCTGTAATGTTTTCCATTTTGAGCATCACAATCTGTGTGTGATAAACTGGATAACTGAGGGAGCTATGTCAATAGTTACAAAAGCAACAGATATAAAACCAACTTTATAAGAGAAGAAGCAGCTGAAGGGTTTGCTATTTCTCTAGACAAAGAAAGGCTTTAAAGACGTTTTGATCAAAATATGAATGCAGCAAAGATGAGTATCCATGGGTTAATTATATTGACTTACTGTTCAAAAGTTTTGGAGAGGGGAGAACATTAGAACTCTTCTTAAATATTTAATTGACAGTTATATTCACAAATAATTAGAGATTAAGCTTGGTTTTACAGGACATAGAAACAACAGTTAAACCAAGTGAAAGCAAAATATATTTTAGGTCAGTATAAAGAGAACCTACTAAAGTAGTGGACACAAATGTGAACAGGGACCAAGTAAGTAACATAAATATGTGAATTAGGTAGATAAAGATATAAATCTAAATGTTCATGCCATGTATAGAGTAACAGCATTGAAAAATTCCTATTTTTATAATGAGTTCTATAGTTATATATCTATTTTTTTTATTCATATGTGCATACAAGGCTTGGGTCATTTCTCCTCCCTGCCCCTACCCCCTCCCTTACCACCCACCCCACCCCCACCCTCTCCCCCATACCCCCTCAATACCCAGCAGAAACTATTTTGCCCTTATTTTTAATTTTGTTGTAGAGAGAGTATAAGCCATAAGTCCATGTCTAATACAAACAGATAAATTTAACTTATGTGATCATAATTTGTGACCTCTCTAATGCTTGTATTTAACACTCTAATGTTACCACTGGACTTGTCCAAGAGAGATTGGCTGCTCATGTTATCAGGCATGCCATTGAAAGTAAAGTTGAACTAAATAATGTCTAATTGCATTTTCTTTATAGAAACCCTATACTTGAAATTTCATGCTTTTTAAAAAATGTAATTACCCATGGAGTAATTGTACCCATTTTGTAATGACCAATCTTTACTTTTCCTTCCTGCACCTTTTACCTTTCTTGGTCATTCAACACCATATGTGTGTGTGGCAATTTATATTGTTCTAAAAGATCATCTAGGAGAGAGACACAATTGTAGACTAAGTTAATATTAAGTGCTATTTGTTGGTCATGATAGTCTACATGCCCAAAGAAGTGTACAGTTATCCAGTGGAAAAAAAATATGCATGGTGGATTCACACTAATCATAATTTTAAATGCTGGAATATATGTTTGAGGCCATCATCCGTACCTGTAGTTTCCATTTGAGGGTCTTAAGACCTGCTGCATACCAGGTACACATAGCATACGGTGTTGGGTAGGGTTCATGCCATGTATAGAGTAACAGCATTGAAAAAATTCCATTTTTTTTGTAAAGAGTCCTATATTTATATACTTATTTTTTAAAAGCCCATGTCTAAGTTAGGAAGTTCACAATTTCAAATACAGAGACAAGAGGTGATATGTCAATTAGAAGCAATTTAAGGTATAGACAACCCAACATATTATATTTCATTGTGATTCTCTCTCAGAGCTTTGGAATTCACTTCAAAGAAAAAAAAAAGAAAAATATATTATGAAACCTGGTAGGGACTTGCTCCATGTTCTGAGACACTTTGTTCCTAATCTTTTTCCTGCCCCTAATTCTATGCTGGAAACTTGTTTTATCAAGTGGCTAATGGTAAACTGGGAATGAGAGATGCATAAAAGAGCAATAATGAAGAGTAAATGCTAGCTACCAAATAATTAGCTTTCAACTAATTAACTGTTAAAATGAGTTCCCCCTTAAATTTAATAAGAAGGCTTTGAGTGTTTTTTAATGAATTCTAATGAATTTCACTGCATTTTCCATAGTGTAGCATTGACTTTTTTCATATAACCTTGACTTCATTCAATAAAGAAAATACGAAAAATGTAGAAGATAATCCTCTTCTCTCTATAAACAGGCATACTATCCAGGAGACAATAACTAAGAGAGTGATTTTACACATTAAATACACTCACTTTCTTACCATGTTAAAAAAAAAGATAGCTATACACATCAAAGGACAAGGTCTATCGCTTGAAAGTAACTGTCAAATGACTGGGGAAGTTTAAATATGTGCAAAAGTAAGAGGACAGTTTTCATAAAAAGAATCTCAAGGCCTGAATTTTAGTGTCATGAACGATCTTCCAAGAAGATCTGTGGAAGGTATGATTCATTGCAGGAAACTGGAAAGTATAATATACTGGAATAAGGATCACATTTTTCTCTTTGAGGTGATTTATATTTAAATGAGTTCTCCATAATCCTTTAAACTGAAGTGCAAATTGGTTATCAAAGTCTTTTGCTGTAAGGGTTGTTTTACATAATAATGAATTTCACAGAAGTTCCTCAAAGGGAAATATTGATTTAGGCAATATCACAGGACATTTCAGTTACAGCAATAGTTTAGTTTAGGGCCATAGATAGCATATGAAACTTTCTGAAAATCAGAATTTCTTTACTAAGAAGTGCAGGCAGTGTATCTTTTTCTCAGTATAAATTACATTTGTGATAAAAAATTTAATGAAATAATTCCATTTAATTAATCATTTCTCATCTATATTAACTTAACAAATGTTAGTAAGAATCTACCATGTCCTGTGTACCTGGTTTACATTTTTTCCAAAATGTGGTTTAAAAATGGGTAGAAAATCCCTTATCTGAAATTCTTGGTACTAGAAATTATTCAAATTTTGGAGTTAGAGAAGCTCTACTTGTAGCTGAAACATTAATTTGCCTGTATATGTGCTGCACTAACCTATGATAGCTCCACTTGTTAGGCCTTTTAACTATATGCTTGTTACTGAGCTACATAATTTAAATATGCTACTTATATCACTTCTTATGATGTAAGGTAGCCATTACTAGTACATAAATAAGAAACTGAGATTAAGTGGTGGATGAGAATTTGAACTAGATTTTATTTCTGTCATGCATTATGCTATCCCACCTCCTCACACATGGCTTCTTTTCATTCTTGAGCCCTAGGTGGCTCACCATAAGAAGGTAAGCTCTAGTCCTTACCTGGGTGGTAAGCATCAGCAAAAGGGCTGCTATTGTTTGTCCTACTTAATCAGTTCTGGAGAAAATGTGAGATTGAGGCTGATTTGTTCATAAGACCTGGTTTGGAGACTAAGGTCTATACTAACTGTAAGTTACTGCCGAATAAAGACCATGCCACGTGTGGAAAGGAAAGGTTTATTGGTGCAGACCACAGGGCTGTCACTCTCAGGTTCAGAGTGAGGCAGCTTCATTGAATTGGGTAGTGGGCTTTATAGGAGGGGCCAAGCCATGGGGGAGGGAGAGAGAGTCTGGTCTCTGAATATCTGCAATCACCAGGTGGAACAGGTCAACATGCCTGGCTAGTTGAGTAACTAGAAGTTCCTCAAGTTTCTTGGCTTGTTTTGCAAGCCAAGAAACAATCAGGCAGGGAGAAACAAGTGGTCATAAATCAGGGGGGTCTGTTTTTAAGGTGCTAGCCTTGGGACCTTCTGCCCACCCCAAGAATGCCAGGGACCTAACACTAACTAGATATGTGGCAATAGGAAAATTAATTTACCTTTCTAAGTGTTTGTTTTCTATTCCATGAATGAGGAAGATGGGTTTATTAATGGACTTTAAAAATTATATTATTCATTTATTTATTTTTTAAGTAGTCAAATTCTTTTAGCAAATTAAGTCTTCTCTGGAGTCCCAATGTATAAACATGTACAGAAAGAAGTACACTGGTTAGGTAAGGTCTGGGTTTGGAGGAGGCATGACTTTATTTACCAACTATGTCTCCTTTTTACCCCCATCTCATCTCCAAGAAAGCCTGTGAAACATCTTATGATTTGTAGAACACAATTTTCCAACTATGCGCTAGCTCAAAGCTCATTCCAATTGTCTTCGTTAATGATTTAAAAAATATACGAATCCACATAAAAAGAACATTAAAACTCCATTAGAATGTAGCAAGGGTGAGGGCTAATGACTTGATGGGGAGGAGACATTAAACTTTAAAGGATATAATCAGATAAGTTGGCACAAGGATGACCAGAGGCTTGTTGTTGGTGTGGAGGTTCCTGAAATTGGGTACTGAAGTTTTGTAGGATGGCAGCAAAGACAACATTTGGGTTTTGTAATAGTGAGTTTTGAAACCTGTTAAATTTTGTTCCAGCTGATTTAATGAAATATGAATATTGTTTTAGCCTGATAGCATTACCCCATTAAGTGACTTTATTATCTTAAAGGTTACTTGATATTAAGATATAAACATTCAATTATGACTCTGCTATTACTGATTTTTCCATCAAAATACATTTCCTTTTTTTTTTTTTAATAAATGGTTCATGTTCTCTAAAAGTAATCATATTTCATCATGGGTTACAGGCTTTATTTGTGTATCTGTATTAAATTCTGATCACTCAGCCAGTGTCTCCCGGATCTGTGTCCTGTGACTGATGGTGTTTAACTGGTTTCATTTTGACCTGTCATGCCCACAGATTCTTTTCACTTACCTGCCTCCGCCTTCTGCTGCTTCTCAATCTTCTCCAGGCGCCCTAGCAAGGAGTCAATTTTAGTTTTGATCTGGGTTAATTCTTTCTTGATGGTCTGTAACTCATCTGATTTCACTGGATGTGGAAAAGGGAAAAGAAAACAACAGAACATAAAATGTACCATAAGTCACTTAGGACACAACAGAAGACACCCCATGTTTTCTCAAGATTGTGTGAAAACCTACAGGATATTTTTGGTATTATCAGCAACTCATCACTTGTAATACTGGAACAGTGGAGGATTTTGCCAATTGGAAATAGGGATTCTCAGTAGCATGAGCATTTTTGACACTAAATCATTTTTGTTTTGTTTTATTTTTAATTAATTTTAATAAATTTTCCAATCTTCGGTATTCCATGGGGAACACAAATGGACTGGGACAATGGGCTATTTAGAATAATGTTTCCTACTGACAAACTCCATCATTGGTATCAAAAACTCTATATTAATCTCCTAAGATTAAAAAATCTTAGTTATTTTTTATTAAGCTACAAACTTAATTTTAATTTTTTTTATTGTTCTGCTGAGTGAGGAGTACAAATCTTTTAACTGACAGTTTTCCAAAGGGATAAAAGAACCTAGAAATATTTTTAAAAATAACTAAATGTGCTAAATTCAGTTTTGGCAAATAGTGGAATAAATCTGCAATGTCAAATAGATTTAGATTATGGAACAATTAAGTCAAGATAGGTATGTTAAACTACTTGGAGACTTTGCAATACATGTTTTGGTAGTCAATAAATTCTTAATCCAGCTCTTTGGGGACTGGCTGAAACTAGGATACAACACCTTCTTCTAAAGAAAATACCTCAGATGCCAGAGGACTGTTTTAATTCTCTCTAACTTGGCACTCCTCTAGTTTTTCTAAAAAATAAACAGTGGGTTGTACAAAGCCCTCTAGAAGCCCTGGGCTTGATGGAAAGGAAATCCACAAATCCATGTGAGTTACCATTGATCTTTTCCTTCTCTTCTCCTTTTTTATCTTGCTTTTTAAAAATTTTGTTTATTCTGAAGAGAACACCCACAGAGTGGGAGAAAATATTTGCCAACTATACATCAGACAAAGGACTGATAACCAGAATATACAGGGAACTTAAAAAACTAAATTCTCCCAAAACTAATGAACCAATAAAGAAATGGGCATGTGAACTAAACAGAACTTTCTCAAAAGAAGAAATTCAAATGGCCAGAAAACACATGAAAAAATGCTCACCATCTCTAGCAATAAAGGAAATGCAAATTAAAACCATGCTAAGATTCCACCTCACCCCTGTTAGAATAGCCATCATCAGCAACACCACCAACAACAGGTGTTGGCGAGGATGCGGGGAAAAAGGAACCCTCTTACACTGTTGGTGGGAATGTAGACTAGTACAACCACTCTGGAAAAAAATTTGGAGGCTACTTAAAAAGCTGGACATCGATCTACCATTTGATCCAGCAATACCACTCTTGGGGATATACCCAAAAGACTGTTACTCCAGAGGCACCTGCACATCCATGTTTATTGTGGCACTATTCACAATAGCCAAGTTATGGAAACAGCCAAGATGCCCCACTACTGATGAATGGATCAAGAAAATATGGTATCTATACACAATGGAATTTTATGCAGCCATGAAGAAAAATGAAATGTTATCATTTGCTGGTAAATGGATGGAATTGGAGAACATCATTCTGAGTGAGGTTAGCCTGGCTCAAAAGACCAAAAATCGTATGTTCTCCCTCATATGTGGACATTAGATCAAGGGCAAACACAACAAGGGGATTGGACTTTGAGCACATGATAAAAGCGAGAGCACACAAGGGAGGTGTGAGGATACGTAAGACACCTAAAAAATTAGCCAGCATTTGTTGCCCTTAACGCAGAGAAACTAAAGCAGATACCTTAAAGCAACTGAGGCCAATAGGAAAAGGGGAACAGGTACTAGAGAAAAGGTTAGTTCAAGAAGAATTAACCTAGAAGGTAACACCCACGCACAGGAAATCAATGTGAGTCAATGCCCTGTATAGCTATCCTTATCTCAACCAGCAAAACCCCTTGTTCCTTCCTATTATTGCTTATACTCTCTCTACAACAAAATTAGAAATAAGGGCAAAATAGTTTCTGCTGGGTATTGAGGGGGGAGAGAGGGAGGGGGCGGAGTCGGTGGTAAGGGAGGGGGTGGGGGCAGGGGGGAGAAATGAACCAAGCCTTGTATGCACATATGAATAATAAAAGAAAAATGAAAAAAAAATTTTGTTTATTTATTTTTTGTGAGAAAGGGTCGTGCTTTGTAGATCAAGCTGGCATTTGCCACCACACCTAGCCCCAGTGATATTTTCTACAATAGTGGTTCCTTTTCTAGATTTTCTTTCAAAGAAAGAAAGTGGGGATAATATAAAACTGATAACTTTTAAATTTTGCTAATTAAGGTTGTTAAAAACAATAAAAAACACCCCAGTGCGAACAGTAATAATCACTGTATTTAAAAAGGGCTTAAGAAAAGAACAGTTCCATATTTATAGGATGATTATTCAAATTAAATAATAACTAATTATTATTAATAACATGTTAATTATTTATGAAAATTTCCCTACATTGTCCTTATTTTGTTTTTCTGAAAACCTCTGGCAATTTTGTCATGAGTTCACAAACATCAGAGATGAAAGATTGTAAGGCTGTCACTAATGAATAGCTATAGTGTCCTTTAAGACTTCAGCAGGGTGTCCGTTCCTCAGTAGAGCAGGGCTTCCAGACCTGTACCTCAATTCCAGTCTTTCTGTTCAACTTTACAATGATCTCAGCCTAGATACTCTAATGAAATTAGTATTTAGTTTGATTTTTTTTGTCTTCAGGAAATTATGAAAACAATAATAAAAACAAAATGTAGTCTGTGTTTGTTTGAAGTAAAGATATTTGTCAGTTAAGATACATGCAATAATACACATGACATATTACGCATCATATAATTAAGTCTCAAGGAAGAACAGTTTTTCCAAAACAAAAATGAGAAAACACTTCTGCTACAAAATCAGATTTTTTTTTTAAAAAGTAATTTTTTCTTTATGATACTAAAGTTTACAAAATAAAAACTGCAAGAAACAAGAGCCCTCTGGAGTATTCCTATAATAAAATAGCAAACTGAGAAGAGAATAGAGTTTAAAACAGAGAATCACTCTTTATGTTAATTATTTCAAAGACATCAAAGTACCCCTGTTGAATTGCAGCTAATTTGAAGAACATCATTTGTCACGATTGCAAATTGATTCTGCTTTGGAGGATGATGCTTGCTCATTTCTTTTGATGGAGGCATATCATGTAGTTTTACTTAAAGCTATTAAATTTAATAGAAAATATTTTATCTTATAACAGATTTCAGTGAAGGAAAATGTAACTGCTCCTAGAAAAAACAGAATATTTCTTTCTTCTTTTTTGGCAGCACTTGGGGTGGAGCTCAGGACTTTGAGCTTGCTAGGTAGGCACTCTACCACTGGAGCCATGCCTCTAGCCTTTTGTTGCTTTAGATTTTTTTTTGAGAGAGTCTCACTTTATGCCCAGGCAACCTGCTCTGAGATTCTCCTATTTTGCTTCTTGTGTAGCTAGGATTACAGGCACCCAGTTTTTATTGTTTGAGATGGGGTCTTGGGAACTTTTTGCCAGAGCTGGCCTCCAACCACGATCCTTCTGATCTCTACCTCATAAATATCTGGGATTACAGTTTAAGCCACTGTACTTGACATAGAATCTATTTCTCATTGAGTAGAGCCACTCCTCAGCACAGTGATGTAGTTGGTTAATTTTAATTTATTTAGCTTATTGCAAAACATAAACCAATAAATCACTAATATCCCCATTAGAAAACCTACCTTAGAAAACAACTGGAAATCTAGATTCACCTATTAGGAGCATTTAAATGTCAGGGAGCCAAAGTTTAAGTTTAGATTCATGTCTACTATTGTAGAAATGCTTTTCAAGAGAAGAACCATACTATCATAAAATTTCAGTGTAGTTAGTTCATGTTACTTCAAGCTTATAAGAAAACAATTTCTTTCCTTTTTTTTTTTTTTTTCCTGGCAATACTGGGGTTTGAACTCAAGATTTCCTGCTTGCTTAGGCAGGAACTCTACGATTACAGTCACATCTGCTACCCTTCTAACTCTTTTGCTTCTGTTAGTATTCAGAAAGAGTCTCACATTTTTGCCTTGGGCAGTCCCCAGATTCTGGTCCTCCTAATCCTCCTATCTTTGGCTTCCAGCCCAGCTGGGATGACAGGTACACACCACCATGACCCATTTATTGATTGAGATAAGATCTCACTAACTTCTGTCTGGGTTGGACTTGAACCATGATTTTCCTGATCTCAACCTCCTAACTTGCTGGGATTAGAGGCAAGAGCCCACCACCCCCAGTCCAACAATTTCCTTTTCAAACAAGGAAATTTGCAGAGGCTCTGTCAATTCTTTCTTGGCCCCTGAAACAAAATATTGAAATGAGTCACTAGCCCTTTGCAGACTCCTCTCTTGGAATGAACAACAAATGCTGATCAATGCTGATCAACGTTCTGCAAAGTGGGCCTTAGAAAATCGTGGATGCTTTTACTGCAGTTGTGCAAGTTGGTTCAGCATAGCACTCACCATATCAACGCTGTTCTTGGGAGAAGGTCTGCCCTTTACCTAGTCCACTCAGCTGAAGTTTTTTTTCTACCTTTCTTCAGTTGGAGTCACTTCCTACAGATGGACCTGAATTTGTGCCATCATACTTGGTTTATAGGTGGAATTCCTGGAATGGGCTACCTCTAAGACTGATGTGCTGCTCTCCCTAACTCTTCTCTGCTTTCATTTTCTACCTTTGCTCCCTTCCTGCTACCATTTTCTCTACAATACAGTGGATGACTTAAAACCCCTGTTTTTATGTACTTCATCAAAATAGATATATATTTAAAACTCTCCATTTCTAAACTTAGGATTTGAGAAGTCTTAGAGTTTGAGAAACTTTTGCAGCTATATAAAAGTTACTTCAAAATTAAGGACAGCTGTATATGTAATGTATGATGCCTGTTTTCATTGTTTTCTTCTGTTTGCTTGGCTTCTT